TCTTCTTCTTCTTCTTCTTCTTCTTCTTCTTCTTCTTCTTCTTCTTCCATCCAGTCTGACCCAATGAAACCCGATCCTTTATCTGACTGAGTGTTTTTGCACCGATCATCTCCAGCAAAATGAGCTAAGCATGACCCGTAGGGATCTGCACGCTTAGCTTTCCGAAAGCCGTTTTTTTCTGAACCGGTTTTTGGCAGCGAATTTGCAAGCTCCTCCGCCAGACGCTCCGCGGTCGAAATCTGAGGCAGGCTTACAGCACCAGCACACTCGGGTGGCTTGGAAGAATGCGATCTGAGGGGCCCACCTCGATCTGGGGTGGGGTGAACATGCCACACCTTGTGTTGCAATAGGGGGGACGGTCGACTGGTCTATTTTCCGAAGCTGGAAGAGGGGACGGGTGGAACTGGAAGGTCTCCCTAGTTTACTACACACCCGTAGATATTGCAAGGGAGTCAACTCGCTGAGCAAGACGGATACTGTATAGTTGTAGCGTCGGGGCAGCTTCGAGGACCACCAGTGGACCCTTCGATGAGGGGAGTGGGAAGGGCCCGAGTTCAGGTTTCAAACATGGGTGATTTTGGTGACCTGTTGAGTCGGGTACAGATTGTGGGCTTCTTCCACTTCACCAATGCGTTTTCCTGACTTCCGAACGGAGTCCGGACTTCCATTACTTCCATGGCTCGGATGTCTCAGCTGCCTCCCAAGCTGCTTTGATGGGATGATCAACTGAAAAGCCCCGCAAGTCGACCGGGAAAATGATGGAGAGACCGAGACCTCCGCCCGGTTTCCATTGAGAAGTGCCTGAATGCGTCCGCGTCCAGAAACCCCCAATGGATCTGAAAAGGCTCAAAACCCATTGAGAGTCACTTTCTTCGCCCTAGCTGTTCTAATACCAAGTAAAATATCACAACATATCGCGTGCAAGCCATCCCGCCAGTTCCAAGACCTAGCAGTTTCTTTTTTTTTAAATGGTTTCAACATAAGACCTATAGCAGTTCAAAGACCAAGCCATCCCGCGCTTGTGATCCCCCAGTCCAAATGAGGTCCTTGAGATTGACCTGTGGGTTGTAAGAGGGTCGTCCAAGAGGGAGAGGCCACCTGGGTGACTAGTCCAGCTTGTCCTCCGTGCCTGGAACCAGCTCGGTGCCTGGAACCCCTTCGCGACACCTGCAGATCCTGCAGTTCCCAGAATTGGTGAAAGGGAAGATCGACCGGAAGTTCGGAAGCCCATGGTCTTCACCCCCCCAAAACGACCAGGACCGTCCGATATCCGAGTCACTTGTGAGTTCGACCCTGTTGGAGGCCTATAGGGCCTATAGGGCCTATAGGCCAATGTTTGCCTAACTTGACTGCTTTTTAAGGGATGATTCCAGGCAGAAATTGATCACAGGCAGTTCAGATCCAGGTCGGAGTTTGCTGCAGATCTTCCCTTGAACTCCTCGGAACCGATCCAAGGCACAGCTGGGCATTCTGGCCGCTGGGAGGATGAGGGAGGTGGTTCAGATGCGGTGAAGGGCGGTTCATCATCCGGTTGCCACGTGGTTCTCCTGTTCCGTAGCAAGCCCTTTAAAAAGATTTCGTGGCAGGTGCAGGTGGTGGGTGCATGGGGTCCAGCTTCCGAACAGAAGTCGCCGTGTCTTGTTCGGAGAAGCCTCAGACTATCGAAAGCATTCAAAAACCGCTGATTTCGTGGCGGGTGCAGGTTGTGGCTCCAAAGTGCAAGTTTCGGTGGGGGGCGCAGCCCCCTCTTTCAATCTATACTAAGTGAACCGAACTTGTCTTCCGGTTCCTTCGCAGTTCCAACAACAACAACAACAAGGTACAAACAAAAGCTGCAGCCCCGTCTTGTTCCTTTGTCTCTACAAGGGGGTGGAAACAAAATCTGCAGCCCCGTCGTTGTTTTTATTGAACCCCCCGAAAACAACCAACCAACAAGTACTTTTACCAGTAGTGTTAGTGCTTGTGCTAGTGCTAGCACTAGTGGTACTAGTACTAGTAGTAGTCGTTGTTGTAGTAGTCGTGGGAGTAGGAGTACGAGGAGGAGGAGTAGTAGTAGTAGTAGTAGCAGCGGTAGTAGAGGTGGTAGTAGTAGTAGTCGTAGTCGTAGTCGTAGTAGTCGTAGTCGTAGTCGTAGTCGTAGTCGTAGTCGTAGTAGTAGTAGTAGTAGTAGTAGTAGTCGTAGTGCTAAGCCTCTGTAAAGCTTCTACTTAGAACCTCTATCACATCCAAGAGACAAAATCTGCAGCCTCGTTGTTGTTTTTTGGACCTCCCCCCCTCAAAAGGTGTTGTTGTCTCTACCCCCTCCTAGAAACAAAGACTGCGGCCCCGCGGTTGTTTTTTGGACCCCCCCTCCAGAACAACACCTCAAAAACACTAAAAACGGACCAGCCCAGACTTCAGTGAAACAAGTCCAACAAGTCCACCTACTTACGAAACCAACATTCGCTCAAACCTTCAACCGTATCCCTAACCTTGTCCCCTTGAAGTTCGTAAGTTACAACATGTGACAATTATGTTGGGCGGCCGTTTTTGTTTCTACCACCAACAACGACAACAACAACACCAACAACACCAACACCAACAACAGTTAAATGAGATGTGAACGTTTAGTACATCCCGAACTACAACCGCGGTGTCCCTGCTGCATATGTCGAGGACTTTTCCACTTCGGCAGCGAGTGACCGTCCCAGACTACCTTTCTAATTCTTCTCTTTCGTCTCCCCCGGCGCCGACGCCCGTGGTGCTCTAGGACAACCCACAGTACCTACTTCCAGCAACTCCCAGATTGATTTTGCTTGCCTGCGGATATGTCCCCACACCTGCACTGAACTAAGTCCCTACCGTTACCACTCCCTTGTTCTCTCACTCTCGTCTCTGCAAGTTTGCTCCTCCAGGCCGAAACAATCTCTGTTCTTGGGAACTGGCCCCTTGTTCCCGAGCAAGTGGCCCTTTGATTTTTCTTTTTTGATGTATGTGGGGAGATGTGTCCACACTGTAATGGTTTTTGTATATGGGTGTTGATCTAAATTCACTCATCTACGATCCATTCTTAGTCAACAAACAATACTTTAGCCAAACTTTCACCATTTCACATGCTATCTTTCACCAATCTTCTGACCATGTCTAGGAAGGTGCATAGACACTGGACAATCATATAATGTAAAGCATATCATGTCATTTGTATCATAGAATTGTATCATAGGCTTACCCATAATGGGCAAGGGGTACAGATGTGCCAGGGTGAACTTTCACCTTTCTTTAGCTGAACTTTAGCCATTCTGTCACCATTTTCAGGGTAGACTTCAATCTTTAGCAGTTTCTTTCGCCAAAAAGACTCTACCATTTCCAACAAAACTTTCGCCAAATGACATTTTAACATGTTCCAGGATCATCATCATCATCATCAACAATCCCTATTAGGGCCTTTGGATCGTGGACACTTTCATATCCATGGTACTCTGTCATATCGTTGTATGACTCTCTAGGCTCAAGTGGACACTGCATTCCGCGTATATAAAGTTGTGGGCAACCAAGGTGCCCTGTGACAGTTGTGGTTTTGTCATTTGGGATGACGCTGACTTGAAGTTGTAGCCCCTGAATTAGAATTAAGCTAGTGACTTCATGCGTGCGTGCACTGCATGCAGTTTACATGGAGGCCTAGAGCTGATTCGCACATGACAGAAGATTACGAAGATCCGGACTCCTCCCAGACTTCAGTGAAACAAGTCCAACAAGCCCACCTACTTACGAAACCAACATTCGCTCAAACCTTCAACCGTATCCCTAACCTTGCCCCCTTGAAGTTTCAAAGTTACAACATGTGGCAATTATGTTGGGCGGCTGTTTTTGTTTCTACCACCAACAAATGCGCCCGAACTGAAGAAAGGCCGCAAGTTCCCGTCGCCATCTGTTCGCAGCTTGACAAACGCTCTGGTGGACAAACTCCGAGAGAAGTATCCTGGCACCTCATGGGAAGATGTGGTGCCAAGAAATGCTGCTCCTGCTGCTCCTGCCGCTTCTGCTTCCTCTGGGTCTGCTACAGCACTTCCCCCGTCGAAGGGCATTGACGTCCAGTATGGATGGGCGGAGCTGGTTGGAAACGATTTTTCTTCTGCGCCAGAGTAAGTGCAACCTCAAGGCATCTGGGGCGATGTCCTGATGCGTCATCCTGCTCGTGTAGCTTAGGGAAAAGCGGCGCCCATGGGCCTGGGGACTAAGCCAGAGTGCAAATGCATCCTGGTTGTGACGAGCATGGAGGACCTGGGACTTTTGTGAAATTTCCGTATGTTAGTTAGCATCATCATCTTACAAGGGTTTTTCAAATTCTCAACCGTAATAAGCAACATCATCCCCACCATCACCCACCATCATCGTCATAACCCGCAATGGATTGCAGATGACAGGAGGATTCAGCTCCAGGGCGTGAGAAAGGACTTCCGGCAAAAGCTGGTGGGGAGCACGGAGAAGTTTGTCGACGAAGACTTCAGCATAAGCTTCACAACTTCTCGTCTCGGGAAGACGTCCAGCACAGGATCCACCTTGGACTCGCTAGACCAGACGTACAACTGGGTTCAGGGAACGTGCCTTGTGCGGGGATGGATCGGACCTTGCATCAGACCTGAGTATGTGGTGAGCACTGGAAAGCTTGCGTCTAACAACAACAACAACAACCACAACGATAACGACAACGACAACGACAACGACAACCACAACCACAACCACAACCACAACGACAACGACATCGACAACGACAACAACAACAACAACAACCACCCCCTTTTGTCTTTTACTTGTTGCAAGAACCACGCCCCCTGATAACAGCAACTTTTTGTTCTTTCAGCAACCTCCCCTGATAGCAACCACCCCTGTTGTTAGTGGGCACCCCAATCATTCCAACAACAACCCCCTAATAACAACAACCCCCCCTGCATATCGGGGCGGCTTGAGTTTTGTCCTATTACATAAGGGACATTGAGGGATATTGAGGGATGGGCCGTTGCTATCAAAAACCACTGATCGACGTGTTTTGCATATACATTTACAAATATATATATAATATATATATATATTTACATGTCTCTTTGGTCTTTTGGCTTCTGAGCGGTTGCCACAAAACCGGCCAACTGTTAAATCATGTTGAGTCCTTGGCAGAGTGATGCAGAGTGGCAAAGCCACCTACCGACTTCCCATACATCACGTGAAACCACGACGAAACCGCAACCGCCAGCCACATCAGCCGATCGATTCCTCGGCGCCTCGCTCGACCAAGGCGACCACCTCTCCCGGCGCCTCGCCCAAAGGCAAAGCAGTCGGGGAACCCGACACCGTGGGACTCCTGGGACGCTGAGTGAGGGAAGCCGTGGGACGCTGTCTGGCCCTGGCTGGTTCGGTCACTAGCCTCCGGTCGCCAGGGACTCCAAACAGGTCACAAACTGAAGAATTTTTCTATGTGTTTCTCTGGTTTTTCTTTTGGGTCCGATCCTTGCTACATTTCCTGGCATGTCCTTGGGCAAGTGGAAGTGCAATCCAACTTGGTCGATCTTCACGGGTGTCGCTATGCTTCTTGGAGTTCCACCGATGGCTCGCTTCGTTAAGTTTATTCGATGGCAAACCGCACCATCAACAGGTGGATATTTTGATATATTTTGATATGCGTTTACTTTTTGCTTGGCTGATGAATAGAGCGGGGTGTACCCCAATTGTTAAAACCTGGTTTTGTTTGAAGGTGATGTTTTTATTCTCCCAATGGGTGAATCGCCTGGCATGGGGACTATATTGTATTGAATCCTGGCTTCCAAATCAGCAAAACCAAGAAACCCGTTGTTATGATTGGTACCTGGCACCGATCCTCATCGATTCGTCCCAATAGGACATTGTTGCACTCGATCGGACGTGGCGGAAGTGGCCAGTGGTCCTCCTTTTTTGGTGTTCTTCGTTGGCATCGTAGCAGATACACAATTGTACCAATCCATCATGTCGACTCACTAATTCAACCCCCCCTTACCAAAATGGTGTTGCATCTCTCCTAGATTATATTTTGCACCATTGAAGCCCAGGAAATTCCTTTTCGGATTGCCGAAAGACCATTTTAAAGAATAGTATAGAATAGTCTTGGACTTCCAGGGTCTCCATAAGGAGGGTTTGATTCATCCGTCCCTGGTTTCTCACCTTGGCTTCTTGATCAACTCCGCCGTCCAGCCCACTTCCACTTCCCGCTTTTGAGCCTCCATTCAGGGACGTCGGCGGCGGCCACGCGTGTGGGCCTGAATATGCTTGGAGGGGGGGGTGCGATTGGAGGCTGATTTGTTTCCACCGGTTCCTGAAGCAACTTCAAGGATTGGAGACATCCTGCCAGGCATTGCTTACTACTCGCAAGCGGATTGATCCTCCAGCATGCTTCCTGTGCAGCTTGATCACCAGGGCGCCTCGCAAAAAGAAAGGAACCCGCTCCATGCTTCCTGCGCAGCTTGGTCATGTTTCACTTGGGGTAGGTCACCCCTCAAGGCCCAGCAGAAGCAGAAGCTTGACCACAAGAACACAACAGACGCCATCAAGCAATCAAATGAGTACAGCTCAATGAGAGAATTCTCGTGTACCAACCTTCAAACACATCGATACACATCAGTCACTTCCCTTGTTCCTAGGCCCATCTAGGCCATACTCAGAGTTGAGATGACTTGGGAAGGGTCTCTATTGGAACACCGCTGGTCCTTGATGGTCTTGGCGATAAACGCGCGGCGAAGAAGGCGTTGGTCGTTGAGTCCTTGCTGAGGCCATGACGCGCTTGGGCACTCAAAAAGGGCGGCTCGGCTGCGTATGGCGTGGTGATGGGGCGCTGGTGGCTATCTGGGCCAGCTGTTGGGCCAGCTGCGTAAGGAGCTGCTGCAAAAGAACCTCAACGAAGCCCCATTTGGAAGGGCTTTTGCAAGTCTTCCGGGTTTGGCCATAGCATGCCGCTATGCCCTGCACTGGGGGCTTTGTTGAGTTTCCAGGTGGCTCCTTTTGATGGTTCTTTTCGGGGAGGCCGATGGAGTGAAGGATCCCCCCCATCGGAATCCGCGACGTCCGCCCAGTGGTCGATCCAGTAATCCTCCCATCCATCCGCAGTCGAGAAGGTAGGTGACAAGGGGACCCTTTGAGGGTATCTAAAGGTCAACCGTTTGAGGGTTGTGGTTTCCCAGATGGCCAAGGAGACTTAGAGGTCTCAAGTGGTGATCTATAGAGTCATCACGAACTTCGAACCTCCCGATGTGGCCAAGGAGACGGTGCTGGCAGAAGGTTCTATAGGAAATTCACTCCCTCTAGGCATTTGATAGGGCCCAAAGTGTATAGAATGCCTCTAAAAGCATCCAACCCAACAATGAAGGGTTGTCTTTGCTAGATAGACATCGATCTTCCATTTTGCTATTGTGTCCTTCTCATCCTTTAGCCATCCGCATGGTGCATGCGATACGGGAGAAGCAGAGAATCTCAAACCTGGTGGCCCCGGAATTTGGAACATTTAGGAACACTTCCCATTTGGACATCCTGAGGACTTCTGAGGACCATTGTATCCTTATTTTCCCGATGTGGACCTGCGTGGACCCTCAGTTTGGTGTTTTTTCAATTTTTTTCACTTGTCTGGTATCTGTGCGGGTCACCTACTTCAGGCTGAATCCCGAACCATCTCTCTACCCAGGATCCTGTGCGGGGCGCACCATGGTCACCTAGCTTTGCTCGTTTCAACAACCTCGTCTTCTTCACCTCTACTTCGGGTCGTTCGCCTGGACTCATCGGGGTCACTCATCGTGGGGACCGTCCGGACGAGCGGAGTCTGGTGTGTTGGGCCGTCCTTCCTGGCCTCCAGGGAAGATGATGCCGAGAGGACGAATGGGGACGGACGACGGGACGACGGGATCCGGCCGAACGACCTGCAACTCGGACGGACGCCATCACGGATAATGCCGCGAGGTGGGGACGGCCAGAAGCTCGTGGGTCGGAAGTTCTTGGACTTGGTCTGGAAACAACACGACGGTCAACATGGAAGTACATGGAAGTTGGACCAAAGCAAGAACCCAAAACGGAGATCAACTTGAAATTGACTTGACTGGGAAAGCGGTTTTGCTTGTTCAGTGTCTTGGGACGGGCAAGCAAGGGAACCGTGAGCACGTGAGCACGTCGCACGTCGCCCGGTTCCTCGTCAGTGGGCGGCAGCTGAGGGATGTAGAGGGTGGTTTTGTAAGACAACTTCTCTGAAGCACCTTCGATGTGTGGAAAAATCATGACACATCCATCAAGACCCATGCTGTGAGGGGAGAAAGGGATGAAGAGACGAAGACGGAAGCGCTTTCAATGATCGAAACCATGACTCAGGCGGTGTTCACCATGCCTTCGCTTCATGCCCAGCAACATGTCCCTTCGAGGTCGAGAGGTCGGAGAATCAATCACAATCACCAAGAAGAACTTCCAAACCCCCTTGAACCGTTTTTGGCGCATGCCAAAACGAACCACGATTGAACCGGAGGACTGGTGAGGAGGAGTATGAGGATGTAGAGGCGGCCGGGTTGAGGGACCTGCAGGGGAGGCCGGGAGGGCGTCCAAGAAGTCAAGTATGGGAGACTTGCCCCGTCCACTTCTTTTCATCGTTTCATCCGGTGTTCCGGTTTTCGGGTGAATTTGTTCACATGGATTGTTTTCCCGAGCCAGATGACCTTCCTGGCAGTGGGGAACATGTTTTAAGAGGGTTCACAAAGTGCGTGGACAGCGCAAGTCTTTGTCCGACTGTCGGACTTGTCTCTTTTGACCCTCACCTGCCGGTGTTTTACTGGTGGGTTCAGAGGTTTAGGATGCCCTGGTGGTATTTGGGTCGCTGCTCCGGCTGCGACTCCGAACGGTCCGAACGGCAGTGCGCGTATTGGTGGGTTGAGAATGGTTCAGTGCGGTGCATGTCCAGCCTTCGGCTGGTGCTGGGATCTACCAGCCTTCGGTCACCATAGCCCGGTCGCAATCTGGAGAGGAGGGGGCGAGGGAAGAGGAAGATGAGCGCTAGACATGTGAGATAGATGGCAAAATGATAGGGACTTGATGTGGCAGATGATGGATGCCCACCGGTTGTCCTGCCCTTCCTGACACCAATGAACAGTCCACATGAGAAATATTGCATGTAGCTCAGTGACCTGGTTCTTTTGCGCACAGCTGCACTTTCCATTTTGGGATCTTCCCATCAGGCGTTGGATGGGGCGAGCTTCACCTTCTGCTCCAAAACGTTGGGAGCTATGGGCTATGGAACATGAACCTGCAACTTGAGATCCTCAATGGACTTTTGACCTTTACTCAAAAAAATCAGGACCTCTTTCCTATTTCAATGGACTCCAAAAAGACCGTGTAGGGACCTCCAGCGAAGACCTTCGCCGCAGCTGCCAAACGCGCCACTGCACGGCTGTGGCGGAGCACAGCCGAGCGCAGCCGGACGTCAGGATTCACCGTTGGATGTGGAGGACTCCCAGGAGGAAGGCGCCCGGGGGCGCTTTCGGCGATGTGGAGACCGGAGGTGTTTCGTTTCAGACGGAGGTGCAGGTGGAGGACGGGGGCCGTGAAGATGGGACTGGCTGAAGATGGGTCCCGCAAGGGTAGGTGATGAGTATACTAATGAGTAGTATAGTAGTATATAATGAGTATACTAAGGAGTAAACATGCAGAAAAAATGAATGAACAGTCCACCCCCCCCAGTCCCGCCATGATCGGCTTCGAAGACCTCTTCTATCTCCCTCAATTCCCAAAAACCGCACGCACGTCTCCGTCTCCGGCCCGCTGACTCTGGGCGGACCCTCTGGACACGCACGAAATGCTCCGGACACTGTGCGGTCGCAACAGCACGAGGTGCAACGAAAGTGACAAGAACCACCATTAAATGGGACACTCCCAGGTAGAAAGCTGCTTTGAGCCGCCAAGAAGGTTGGTCTGCCAATATCTCCGAATGGTAACACTTCTTCATATGGGTTGGTGTTATTCATCAAGAGTCTACATCAAGTGTTGTGGAGAGTTCTTGCAGTTCTTCCAGTTCTTCCAGGTCCCAGTGGCTCTCAGTGCTGAAGGTGACCCAATTTCATGAACCCAGTGGTCTTGACATACCAAGAGAAGTCAAAGTGACCGTAAATAGGACCCCTACTGGGGTATAATATATGGGATAGTCTATAGGGTTCTTCAACCTTTGTTGGTAGTTCTAGAAAACTGTGGAACAACAAAGTTACCTTCAGACCCCACCCCACCAAGCAAACCTGGGTTCCAAGCGTCAAACAACAAAAACAAGCAACAAGCAATGTTGCTGTGTGCTTTGTTCCTAGTCACGAAAGGTAGCTTGAGCTACTGGGATTGTGCATTGAGTTTGGTCCTTTAAGAGATGATTCTGTTCGTTGGGGGGGCCCCCGCCCTGGATCAAATCCCCCCCTGCGCCGGTTCACGCCGTCTTGGACTTCTACCAGGTTTTCTTGTGATTGCCTGCTACCTTTCGTTCACCCCCTCCTCTCTCAAGTGTATATATGCAAGTGTGCACCAACAACCAACTGAAGCCGGTGTGCGAACCCACCAAACTGACCTACCCACCCATCGCTCCCGGCGCAATTCAAAAGCAGGCGGGCGCCTGCGTCCCCGCATGAGCCAAGTCACCGCTGCAGCCTTGCTCTCGAAGGCAGGGGCGATCGCCGCACCCGGGCGACGCGAGGTGAGGATGGTCGGTGCCACAAGGGGGAAACAACAGGTGGGTGTGGAATGGTGTGCATTAAAGAAAAGACCCTCAGAAGAAGGTGCATCCAAAAAGACACGATCGGAAGAAGGGAAATAGACTAACACCCATAGTTGGTTGGGGTCCCTCTCTTAGAATAGATGCTAATCAGAATAGTGGCAGGGTCAAGCTGGCTTGGGTGGTTGATCACCTCCCTTCAGTCCCCGTTCTTTGGGGGCTCTGACGTACGTGGATCACCTATCCGACCAAACTCATTGAGAGATTGGATGGGATTTTCTTCTCCACCCTACAAGAACCGCAAAAACAAGAACGTGTGGGGAGTCTGTCAGAAACCTTTGTGGTCATTTCTGTGGATTTCCAGATTTTGTGGAAACCCAGATTTTCCACAGAAGTCTGAGCGAGTCAGACACCGTGGCTTTGGTGTTTTTCACATTGTTTCACTGATGTATTTGTCCTTGAAATTTGAAGACTGATAGCCAACCTGGGCACACCTAGTCGCCCCCAAGACCTGCAAGCTCTGAGCTTCCTGTTCTTTTGCCATCAGTTTTTGAGTTGTTTCCTGGCATCCTTCAGTGTATAGGTGTACTATGGTGTACCCTACTTATACCACCGATGAAGCTTCTTCCCCAGTCTCAGTCGCAGAGTCGGCTTTTCTTCGCGTTCCCGCTGAGGTGAAGGAGCAGGGGAGCTCCGATGTGGTTCACCCAGAGGTTCTGAAGCTGCAGAAGCGGCTCAAAGAGGAACTGGAGCAGCTCAGAATCCAAGGGATCGACCGTTCTTCGAAACCCCTTTTCGAGGGGTGGGGGGGGGGGCACGAGTGTGGTGAGGGTGGCACGGAAAGGAAAAGACTTCGAGCTAGTTGGGCGGCCCGGGGACGCTCAGAAACTGGGAGTTCGATGCTCTGACCCCTGGTCAAACGGTGTAACTAAGAGCCACTGATGCGCAAGACGTGGGCACGCGCTTCAGCTGCTTGGCCGCTTCGCGCTGCCAGGGCAAAGATGCGAACTGCTTGGGCCCTTGTAGGGCGTATACTATCGGCATATAGCAAGGCCATGAAGGCTTCCGATACCACTATCGCAAGCCCAGGGAAGACAATGCATGAATAGATAGGATATGATAGGACGAAGTTATCTGCACATGTGTAGCACACACGAGGGATATGTCTCGTTGGTGGTTGTACAACATGTTTCTCAGCCCCCCCTCATTGTCTGGGCTGGTTTCCTGGCCCCAGCCCAAACATACCTTCTGCTGAAAGAGGCAGGCTTCGCGGCAAAATGACCTGCGTTATACCAGGACCAGCTGTCGGTTGGTTGATGGACACCCCTTAACCATTATGGGGCGATAAATAGACAGCCCTAACAGGGGGCCCTGGTACGCATTGACATTCATTGACAGCTTTTGAGGGTTTTGACGCCTGGGTCACCGTTTCAAGGCAAGAGCTTCGTGCTGAGGAGGAGGACGCGCAGGCGCCCTCCGTGTGTTCGAAGTCCGTGCGTTTCTTGCGACAGCGTTCCGGTCCATTCGGAAGCCCGGGCTTCCCCTGCCACGACTTCCCCTGCCAGCGGGGAGGCTGGAGGTCCCAACTGTTCGGTTGGTCAGGACCCGACTGTTCTTCGACTATCCCAGGGTTGGGTACTCCAGGTCACAGGTCCTATTGACGGTCACTTAACCTACCTCTCTTGGTTTATAAGGTCACTTGTGTGGTGCAAGGCTCTGCACTGCCAAATGGTTTAGGCCTCAGAGGGCCAGCCCAACCTCAAACAATGGGGTCAGACTTCTGCAGATGTTCCCTGAGATCTGTCCAAGTGCGAGGGGGGCAGGAACCCGGACATTCAGATGTTTTTTTAGTCGTTCGTTCATGCGTTGTGACTTGGAAAGCTCAACTCATGTGGTGTGCAGCGTGAACCCATGCAGAGTGCAGTTCATGGCAGGTCTCCAGGGAAGAGCTGGAAGCCAAGGTGTCCTTCCTGCAGGTGCACTTGGAGGCCCCGAACACCGAATCGCCGCGGAGTCCGTGCCTCGCGCAAGCCGTGCCTCGCGCAAGCCGTGCCACTCAGGGCGCCCGCGGAGTCCGCGAGAGCTCGGGTTCAAGGGATACTCGAGTCGGACTCCTAAGGGGGAAAAACAAACCATCGTTTTTGTTGGGGGTAAAGGCACGGATTGATTGTTTGGAGAGTTTCCTTTCAATCGATTCTATTCATCAGTCATGATGAGTTGGGTCTTGCAACATTTGGAGCACAACTTTGGTTCACAACTTGTTCACAGAACCCCCGCCATTTCTGAGTCTTGCCAAGGGTGAACTGATTCCAATCAAAACCAGGTTTTGTGTGCACACTGGAATTTGCAAGTGCTTTTGCTGGGATTTGGGCTACAATCAACAATCAGAGCGGCCATTTTACAAGCGTTCGAAGTCCAGTTCCACTTAGATTTGTCGTGGTTGTTGTGGTTGGGGCTGCACCCAGTCGCACCTACCAGTCCGGGCCAGCCAGGTTTCGGTTTCAGACACGTCCGAACTGACCAGGTGGACCTGTCGCCAGACCCTTTTGAACAAGTGTTTGATCTCTCGGACCTCTTGGACGGACCTTTTTAGGCTTCCTGGCCCATTGAAATAGGCTGAATCTGGAATCGCCATTCTTTTGTTACTAAGGATCGTACACAGCGAAACCAGGTCATGCAGCCATGACTTCTTAAAAATGCTCTTGGAAAGCTACGGGGGCAGATCCGTTCAAAGAAGGAGTGCGAGGGTCATTCTGAAGTCGCTTTGAGCACTGGCTTTGATGCTCGAGGAGGACTCCAGGCTCCACTCTGTGCCTTCAGGGTTTTCTCTATTCGGTTACGCGCCCAGAAAAAAACACCAGAAACTTGTGGTACCCCGGTCTCACCATTCACCTGTCGTGATTTGTTGTTGTTCCGGATAATCAAGTTTCTTCGATTAAGTTTTTTCATGGATGAACGGGTATGAGGAACGCCGGCAGTGTCGCCACACGGAGAGTGAGTCTTGCCCAAAGGGTTTTTGACACTCACAGCTGCCAACAGAGGTTGAAGGACCCTATAGCCTATCCCACACGTACCCCATTGAGGTCCTATGAACGGTCAATTATATAACCTCTCTTGGTAGGGTTTTGCACCTCAAACATGTCGCAGTTGCATGTGGCCTAGAGTCACTGGATGTGAGTCGTGTGTGTGGGGGTTCGATGGCCCAGGCACAAGGGCTGTTAAAGCCCAAAGATGCGGATGACACTTGGTGGGAGGATGCAGGGGGGGACCAGGTGGAAGAAGTTGGTTTTTGGAAACCCTACCGGGCAGTTTGACCTCAGTGCTGGAGTTGGTTATACAAAAACAGCATGAAACAGGAGGTCAGGCAGACCAGGTGGGGACCGTGGACCTGGGTGACCACGAATTCAGCAGTTCGGTCGGTCGCCCGTTTGGACATGTGGGTGCGTTTGTGAATAGGGGGATCCCCTTTCTCGCCCCTTTCTCGCATGGGTAGACTGGTCTATGCTTTTTTTGAATCGAATTCAGCGGTTCAGAACGCCTGGGAGGTCTCCCTTTTTTAATAGGCGCCCATGTAGCTTCGGGAACTTCGTTTGAGACTGTTATTTTGTTGTTAGTTGTTACATGTAGCTTTCCCAGCACCCTGTTGACCCCCGCAAACGACCAAACCCGACTTGAAAAGACCATCACAAAGCATGACCCAACCTTGCTCAACCTCACTTCAACCTCACCAGTTCTCATCAGTTCTCACCAGTTCTCATCAGTGTTCTCACTTCCACCTCAGAACCTCTACTTGATGGCCTTGGCGGAGATGTCGGGCGACAGCGTGGCCGCCGGCGAGTTCGCGCGCCGCGCGCTCTCGGAGAAGCCGTCCGAGTCCTCCGAGCCGCTCGGAGGTGGAGGGAGCGGAGGGGGGGAGCAGCGGGGAGGCTGGGGAGGTCCAGGAACCAAGGTTCAGCAGCCAGGTGCAGTGCTGAAAAGCATTGAAGCAGAGGCTTATAAAAGCCTGGTAGCAAAAGGCGCCTGTGTGACTACAGATCCCCCGGATGGAATCTCAAAGAGAGATCTCAATGAGCTACTTCAGAAAGTGCACAAACCGCGCCACACGGCACGCGGCCGATGGTAAATTCCTCTTCGAGCACTTCTCGAGCTCTCCCTGCCATGCCATCATCTTGGATCGCCCAAACGCTTACCCATGCCCGTTGCGCCAATTCCGCTCTCGCTTGGACCAGTACTTGAAGGAGGCAAGCAAGGGTGACACCAAAATAGGCCAAAATCCATCAATGATCTCACCGCCTTCGGCTACCTGTAGTCCGATGACGGCCTGGCTGGCCTTCAACCCGGCTTTGGAGTTGGTTTTGGACTACTTGGAGCGCGCTTGCAGGGCGCCGGAGTACCCTTGCCATCCCTTGCCTATATGGCTTTTCCTCTTTTCTTCCATTTGCTTTTCTCCTCTTTCTTTCTTTCTTTCTTTCTTTCTTTCGTGCTGCTTGACCCGATCCGAGGCCACTGCAAAGCCCTCGGTCGAACTCTTGAACAAAGCCGCACACACACTGAACATCCTTGGCTTCGACCTCGAGATTACTTTCGTCCGAGGCGATTTGGTCTTTCACCCCATCCAGCTCCCCCATCCATCTGGGAGGCCTATCAGGGGAATCGTCCGCGAGGGCACCGACCATCAGATCTACACTTTGGCTTTGACTGGATACACCTGGGGCATCCGGCACATTCGCAAAGAGAAGGAGTTCCGTTACCTCTGTTGCACGGAGGAAGGTGTGGAGCCCGCGGACGATGCACAGCCCACCTTCCCTTGGCACCTCTTTACTGGACCCAAAGACATCATCCTGCAGGTATTGAACGACCTTGGGCCCTGACCCAGTTCCATCTACCGCTTGCCATGAATGGCTTGACGACATCAGACCTCTTCCGCCGATGCTCGAAAACCTGCATTTTCCTGTTTCCTGCTCTTTCCTTCCCACTTCGTTGCTTTCCCTTCTGTATACTCTTCCTCACGCCGCCGTTGTAGTCTCAAGCACTATACTACCTCCGCATCCTGCCCGCTCCTCGCCATGTCGCGCCGCAGCCCTTCCCAGTCTCACCTTCCTCCAGCAGCACACAGCAAAAGCCGCGCCGAGCCACCGCGCCATCGCTGCCACCTTTGCTTGCGCTCTTTTAGCTCCGAGTGGGGCCTGCGGCAGCAGATGCGAGACAGGCACGGTGGTTCTCCAACAACAGTCGGGGTGGGGACTCGGACCCTGCAGTCACTGCTGACCGTCGCAACTCAGTTGCTCGCGCAGGAAACGATCCGTTGTGATGATCCGTACCTTTTCACAGCCATGTCGAATGGACACTCCATGGCCACTCCTGAGCCCGACCCCACCTGCGCGGTCTCTCCTGACCTTCTTATGCTTTTTCAATTATTTCATGAAATCTTTCCCTTGACCCATGCAGCAGCTACCTTTACCATATCCCACGCATTGTTTTAGTATACTACCATACAAAACTTCGCACTCAAAACTCCGCCAGGACTCTCTTCCTTCGCCGCTATTCGCCGCTCCCGCCTCGGAGGACCTCTTCTCCCACAATCTACGTGTTTCTTTTTTCTTTTTTGCCAGGCTGCCGTCCATCCTCCACATCGCCATGCGACCCGCGCTCTCCAGGCCATGTTTCCGTTTTTCTTCTCAAGCCCCTATGTATCTGGGCCCAAGTATCCTCCAAAACCATTTTTCCACCAAGGATGGCCCTCGGTAACTCTATCCACCTCTCAGGACCGTCGCCCCACTGATTCCCAAGCATCAACTCCTATGCAACGCCGAGGCACGTTACCACCCCCGTTCAAGTTTCATGCTTCCGTCCCCCAGCAAACATAAAGCCTCTCTGGGTACCACTGCCTTCTTGCGAAGCCGCCAGCCACCCTCCGCCTCGCCAGAAAACTCTGCCATCCCCTGTTTCACGTCCCGCGCTGCAAGTCGAGATGGAGGCGCCTCCATGTGGCTTCATTGGTTTTGTTTGTCCGCCTCCCTGACATACATCAACCCTCACGCCCCTTCCCCATCCCCGCCCTGTTGCCAGGCTCCCGTCCGTGCTCCTCCTCGCCATGCAACCCCTCGCGCCATGCAGGCCATGTTTCCCCTTATCTTGCCAGCCCCAACATTTTCGCGAAGCTCAAGTACTGTCTAAAGCCACTTTTCCACCACAGATTGGAACCCTTATCAATGCGCGCTAACGACCACTCTGGCTGTTTTCAGGACAGCCTCCTCAATACTTCCCGAGCATCGGCCCCTCACGTTTGGAATGATTTCGACCCGTCCTGAGCGCACTCCCATCCACCAAAATCGCCATTTCAGCTGAGACTTGTCACGAACCTCGCCGCCTCGCGGTATTCTATGGTTTAAAATGCGTTCTATGAACCAGGATTGTCGACATCGACGTCGACATTTTGAGCATTTCCGCAGACGATCTGCGCCCAATGCACTGCGGAGGGTGATTTTGCTGCGCAGGTGCAGCGTTTCGTGAGATCCTCATTTGCTTCGATTCGCTGTGTCATTGCGATTGTCGTTCACAGGGTGTTTCTTTTGGAGGTGGACGTCGCTGTGACATTGCGATTTACGTTTCAGCCAGCGCTAGGCAGAGAGTGCCCTACAAGAATGTGCTTACGCCCCGCCAGAGTGTCAAACAAAAGTGTCCCACAAGGGTGTCACCCAAGTGTCCCACCAGTGTTCCCACAAGAGTGTGTTGCGCAAGAGTCTCGCGCAATAGTGTCCTTTGCGTTGTTTGCCCTTCCCTTTAGGCAGCCAAACAAATCCAACGGATTTAGGGGTGGTCGAGCTGCTGCTGTGCTTTCAATCCCCAAAGATGCCTTGCTGTGCATTGTCGCGATGAAGACCGTCGTGCTCAGCGGAGACCTCATGCAATGGGTGCTTGGGTCTTGCCCAGTTGGCGACGAAGAAGGGCGCGCCAGTTGCGTAACGGGAGCTGTGCTGACGCCGTGTAGAGTCCCGAAAGTCCAATTCTACGACGCCAGTGGGCAGGCATCGCTCCAGGCCAGCCGCTGCCGTTGGCTGTGGGTCAGGGTTACACGCGCGTCTGGACCAACCCGGAGGGTGGACCAGAGCAGAGGAATTCCGAGGGCCGCTCGCCGGCTTCTGAGAAAAAATCGATTTCCACGAGAGATGGCCAAGTCAGTCAAATTTGGCCTCAAGGTCGACCACCACCAAGAGCAACAAACGGCTTGTCAACAATGCAAAGTTGCCGCGTCTCCGTGACAGGAACTTCGGAGATCCTGACCACACGCTTGCCAAGAGAAACGAGTCAAGCACACACTGCCGGCTCACCAGGCATTCGGCGCAAGTGCCCACTGCGCTCTAGAGTTTGTTGAGGTCCGGGAGTGCGCTGCGCTCTGGAGCTTGCTGTTGAGGTCCGGGAGTGCGCTGCGATCTTGCGGTTGCTGTTGAAACCCGGGCTGCCCACTGTGAACTGTAGCTTGCTGCTGTTGAGGGTCCAGGAGTGGCCTCTTCAAAGGCTGCCTCGTCGAAGTCCCGACGGGCGAAAGGTGCCATGGTTTCTGGCTGATTGACTCGCCAATCGAATACTTTCACGTGCAGTCATGAAGACGCAGTCCTTGCTTTCCGCGGCCTATTCCATGTCCATGGTCTTCCGTCATCTTCCTGGTAGCCGACCTCAGGGACAACTGTGCTTGACTCCTCAATTAATTCAGGAATCATAGGAAAAACATTCCCCAACCGTTCTATGAAGCGTGGCCGAGTATCCGCGACCTGCCACGGTTAGCCCAGGTCCAGTTGGTCGCCGCGCCACGCGAAGGAGATGCTGTCGCCATCCATGAGGCGCGTCGGTGCGCGTGCTGCGGCGGAGGGTGGGACACAAGTGAGGCTGACGTGGACGTGGGGATGGTGAAAAAGAAATGCAATCGTTTAAGGTTTAGTTTAGTTTTGGCCACGGTGATGCGAAGGGCCCCCCATTGACATTGGGGTTGGAGCTGTGCAACGGATAAAGAAGAACTATTGCATGATTCTTAAAGGGCATCAGGAACGCAGGGTCCCCTGTAGAGTGGGCACTCTTGTGGAACACTTTTGTAGGGACGGCCCTTATGGGACACTCTTGTGGGACACTCTTGTAGGACACTTGTGTGGGACACACTTGTAGGACACTCTTGCAGGGCACTCTTATGGGACTCTTGTCGGACACTCTTGTGGGACGCTCTTGTGAGACACTCTTGTAGGACACTCTTGTGGGTCACTCTTACAGGACACTCTTGTAGGACACTCTTGTATGACACTCTTGTTGGACACTCTTGTGGGACACTCTTGTGGGACACTCTTGTAGGACACTCTGTGGAACACTCTTGTAGGACACTCTTGTGGGTCACTCTTGCAGGAAACTCTGGCGGGGCACTTTTAGGCACTCTTGTGGGTCACTCGTGTAGGAAACTCTTTGGGGGATACTCTTATAGGACACTCTTGTGGGTCACTCTTATGGGACACTCTTGTGGGACACTCTTGTGAGACACTCTTGTAGGACAC